ATATAATGATAGTACTACAAACCAGTTATTAAAAATCAACTAGAATAGTAAAAAAATACAAGAATAGAGAAGTAATATTCTCATGAAATTCCTTCATTACCCAAATTTAGTTTTTTCAAAACATAGACCGGGTGCTTTATATGATGCGTTCACCAAAGCAAATATTTTAGAACCAAAACATATATTAGCTCTAGCGCGAGCACTTTATTAAAATGTGATCACAAAATAGATCTTAGACCTTAAGTTTGTTTATAGCTTTGGAATGAGGTTCTGTGGCTATTTTTTTGCTTATCCTATCTACCTGCAGATTTTAAATTCTGTAAAACCTATTTTCGGTCAGAGCAGGTAGAATCCCAAAGAGACTACCCAATATAAATTATAATATTTTTTCGCTCCCTTTATCTAGACAAGAACCATCTCTGATATTCTCTTTCCAAAGAAGCATAGCTCTGAGAAAATTTTTCGAATTGAACTTTTTTCCACAATATATAATCTGAATACTACAGAATAATCTAACACTCGCCTATATTTTACATACCATTTCATACTTACACTATGAATACATCAGCCTGAGAGTAAAGTTCATGAAAAAATATATAACCCCAAATCAGAAACAGTACTTAATACAATAACTGGCCGATGGATTAACTCAAATAGAAAACTATTCCAGAAGTTGATTCGTAAAGGGTTCATATACACTGATAAACGTTCAGATTATTTAGAGGATATTTGGGATGATATATTCATCTTTTCCCATCCAGCCTTAATTCTGCCCTTATCTATCCTAGCTAGACCAGGTATTTGCAGAAGGTTTCCTATTAGTGTGAGATCCGCTGTTAAGGGTGAGATGAGTCTATTTACTCAAGAAAAAAATAAACAATCCTCACTTCAGAATCTGGTTCAGTTAGACCGTTTTAATAAAAATTTGATCATATTATTAAAATTATGCTAGAGACATAAAGAAACAAAAGCTTGAAGGAATGGCGTACTTATAAACTTTCTTTATCAGCCAAATTTAACCCCTTCGAAGTATAGACCAGGTGCTTTATATAACACATTTACAAAAACAGATATTTTAGGGCTAGAGCATATATTAGCTCTAATACGGTTACTTGACTAAAATATAATTATAATATTCTTTTGAGAAATATTTATTCGTAATTTTGGAATAACAGTTCTGTGACTATATATCTTTTTTGCATATTTACCTGTAAATTTTAAATCAAGGTAAAACTCCTGGCCGGAGCATAAGTTATATTATTATTTTTCACTTCCTTTCCGAAGAAGTATAGCTTTGAGAAAAATTTTCGAATTGAACTTTTTTTCACAATATATAATCTGAATACTATGGATTAGTCTAACTACCACATATATTCTACATACCTTATTATGTTCGCTATCATAACCAAGTTCATCAAAGACCACAAACTCACCAATGAGATTAGTCTCGAAGAGCTTAGCCAATATGCACCAGAAATACTTGATCTCTTAACAGATAATAAAGAAAAAAAGTGCCAGGCTCATAATCATCTTATAAAAAGGTATGGCTTTAGCAAAGAGCAAGCATTTGCATTGATTCCTCTCCAGAGAATCGGGCAATGCAAAAGTCAAGCACCGGTCCCAGAGGGACCAGAGTTGAAAGCTGAAGAAGTAAATATATGTCAAGTATTAGATAGTACTGGTTCTGAGAAGACTATTAAAGAAATGGCTCAGCGTATTATACGAGATAAACTTAGTGAAAAAGAAGTAAAAGCAATATCTAGAATCTTAGAGGAAATATCCTCTGATGCTGTCGTTGCCTTATCTCGTCTCTCTAGATTTCGAAGAGAATTGCGAACCCTCAATGCTTCAGAAAAAATAATTTCTGCTACATTAAATCCGGAGGTAACTAGATTATCTAATAAAGTCCAAAAGGAGTATAGCGAGCAACATGAAAATGAAGGGATCAATTTTTTAGACCACTTCTTATTAGAATCAGTTAAGAAGAGACTGAATTTATATGATGTATCTAATATACCCGATAAACAAGCCCTAGCTAATATAATGATAATGCTCTGCATTCGTCCTGCTGAAATTAAAAACTTGCATATATCTAATGGGCCTGTAACAGGATATGCAAAAAACCAAGGTCAACAAGATATTTCTCAAGTGTTTAGATCACTAGAAAAGAATAAGGAGCGGGCTAAGCAACTCCTTACTTGGATTCAGGAAGCAATTTCTTCCGAACAGTTAAGAGACCCCAGAAAGCTTGGATCTATATACTTAAGTGCATTTCTAAAAAAGACGAATTTATTCCTGAAACAGAAAGTCGTAAACCACTACTTTCTAGCTCTTTGTACAAATTAGGTATAGTATTTGCAGTTGTATCGAATAGTGCGAAGAATTTATCAGAGGCTATGACCATTGCTAGTCAAGCTCTTCGATATTTGCCAGACAACCATGCCTCCCTAGCACAAAACTATACTATAGTGAATTTCTGCCAGAGAGGACAACTTTATGATCAGGCAAAAGCATTCAAGCTCTCTGATGAAAACTAATACCTTCTCAAAATTAATTTTCTTGGGAGGGTAGGTTAGATTTTGTTTGTTAAATTTTATTTTTTTTATTCGAGGTAAGATAAATTATATATAAAATATCACGAAAATGACAACTGATCAAAAGCATTCATCTGATAATACACTTACTGAGCAAGAAGCTATCAGACGTACAGAGAAAATAGCCCAGATATTTGAGTTATATGAGCAAAATTCAAAGGTGTATAATATGCTTTTTGGAGAAATTGGGGTGTTAGCGAAAAAGCTAGATGATTATCATTCTGAGTATATCAGCTTAAAAAAGATGATAAAAAGACTGAAAAGAGATGTAGAGTCTCTAGAGACTGAATTAGAAGATTTAGATGACTGTGTGGATAAGAACACTGTGGTTGACTTAATATATGAAATAGTTCCCTTGCTAATTAATGAAAAAGGTAAGAGTTCCTTCAATTCGTTCAAGATTTCTGAAGAATCTGATTCGGCTAAGATATTTGAGGTAAGAGAACGAAAGGCTGTTCCTCATAAGCAACAAAGAAAGGCATGGCCAAGAAAGGTTAAGATAAAGAAAACAGTTAGCAGTTCGAAGTGGTGATGCTAAATGTCTACTATTTTCCTAATACTATTCTTGAGATCACAATTAAGTGATCTATTTTTAATACAGGTAGAAAAGTGTCGATATGAAATAAAAATCTATGAAGTGTATACCCTTTTCTTCACTAATTATCCATAATTGCCAGTAGATCGATCGTCCTTGGTTCATACTAAATAATTCATAAATAAATAGATCACCAAATCCGAAATTGTTTTTTAATCTGCAAATTAGTTTTGTTAGTTGTGAAAGTACATTATAAATAAAAATGAGCAGAGTATAGAATTAACCACAATACTTATCCATTTATAACCCTTTATACTGTATTCTAACTCTTAACTGTAAAAATTTTTATCTTTGAATATGTCTACTGATCCAACTCCGAAAAATATTTCATGTCTCAAAACTCTTGCATTGAATATTCTTAAGAATAGCTCACCAGATGCTATTGC